ATATATATATATATATATATATATATATATATATATATATATATATACATACATACAGAAGGAAAATTGCCCCCCAAAAAAGGAACAAGACACAGAGACCCACTCTTCACACTCTCAGGAATCCCTTAAAAATACAAAACTAAACCCCATAATACACACACACACACACACACACAAACACACAAGCAAAGGACCTGTAGGATAAAAAAGGAGAGAAATAAATAAGATATATAAATAAAATAAGGATAAAGACAAAAGTAAAAATTAAAAAGGCCAGACATGACATGAGGAGACCCTGAATTCGTTTCCTGTTCACCATCTACTGCCATGCATACAGCTTACCCTTAGAGTAGTTTATTTCCCCAGTGAGATTCCCTTAAAGAAAACAAAATTTTTATTTACTGGTGGTTATCAATAGGAGATAGCTTCTGAGTTTGGGATGGGGCATGTGCCCATTTCTCCTTTCAGCTCTAAAACCCCCTCTGGTGCAGACCTGTACAGGACCTGTGCATGTTACCTCAGTCTCTGAGTCCATGTGTAGATCCTGGATTAGAAGGCCTTGTATTCTTGGTGTCCGACATCCCCTTTGGCTATTATGTTCTTTCCACTTCTTCTTCCACAGGGTTCACTTAGCCCCGAGAGGAGAGATTTGATGAAGATGTGCTGTTTAGGGCTGAGTCTTCTAAGGTCTCTAACTCTGTATAATGTCAGGCTGTGAGTCTCTGTATTTGTTCCCATCTGCTGCAGGAGGAAGCTTCTCTGATGATGGCTGAGCAAGACACTGATCTACAGCATAGTCGAATGTCATTAGGAATCATTTCACTGCTAAGTCCTTTAAGTAGAACAGAAGTATTTGGCTTTACCCTAGGTCCCTGACCTATCTAGTCTCAGATTCTTGGCCACCCCAGCAGAGCTGAGTATGGGTTTCGTTTTGTGAAGTGGCTTTATGTCGAGTCAAATGTTGTTACTCCTATAAAGCTTGGGCCACCACTGCACTAGCATAGCTTGCAGGCAGGACACTATTGTGGATCAAAAGGTTTATGGCTACATTGCATTTACATTTCTCCTTTGTAGCATGCAGAGTACCTTCCTGTACCAAAGACACTAACCTGTAGAGGTAAAGGCTCTATGTACACCCAGTTTGACATCTCTGTGTTCAGTGAGTTGTGTAGGTTTTGTCTTCAGCAATAGGGCCTTGCCATCAGTTTGTGGAGAACAATTTATGTTCTTAGCAACAGCCTGGGTTCTATGGATTGTAGTTTGGTTATCATTGACTTATCAGCTAATATCCATGTACTAGTAAATACATCCCATATATGTGTATTAGTAAATACATCCCATATTTGTCTTTCTGTGTTACTTTACTCAGGATCATTTTTTTCTAGTTCTATCCATTTGCCTGCAAATTTCATCATTTTATTTTTAATGGCTGAATAGTATTCCATTATGTAAATGAACCACATCTTTTAAATTCATTCTTCTATTGAGGGCCATTGAAGTTGTTTATAATTCCATGAATAGAACAGCAATAAATGTAGTTGAGCAAATATCTCTACAATTGGTATATGTCAAAGAGTTGTATAGCTGGATCTTGAGGTAGATCTATTCCCAGCTTCCTGAGGACCCACCATACAGATTTCCATAGTGACTATACAAATTTATGTTCCCACCAGCAATGTTTGAATGTTTCTGTTATTCAACATCCTCTTGCATGATCCAATTTTGGTTTTATTGACCTTGGTCATTCTGATGGGTACAAGATGAAATCTCAAAGTAGTTTTGGTTTGCATTTCCCTGACAACTAAGGATGTTGAACATTTCTTTAAGTGCTACTCAGCCTATTTGAGTTTCCTCTGTTGAGAATTCTCTGTTTATATTTAAATTTTTTAAAATTTGGACTTTAAATTTGTGTGTGTGTGTGTGTATGTGTGTGTGTGTGTGTGTATAATTAGCCCACCATTGGATCTGTAGTTCCTAAAAACATTTTCCTTATTCTGTATGCTGTTACTTTGTCTGAATGTTGGTTATCTTAAAAGCAGATATTTAATGTTTAGTTTTTATTCAGAGATAGCTACTGGTCTGCATGTTGTACCTGGTATTTTATATTCAAAGCTTCCTCAAGATCCTAGGCATTGCAAAGTCTCAAGAAGAGAATTCTTTCCTTAGGAGTCACAGAGGTAGCAGGAGAGGTGAGCTTTGCATCTCAGTGTGTGTCTGTGAGCCATGCAACCTGGAGAGGGCGTCTCCCTGGCTCCCTGCTAACCGTTGTACCACCCAGTGGTTTTTTATTTTGTTTCCTTTTAGCTTTACGAGACAAGGTTTCCCTATGTCTCCCAGACTGGCCTAGACCTATCATCTAACCACCTGATTCTTCCTCCTGGGACTGCAGATGTGTGACACCGAACTCAGTGGTCACGGCTTACAGAATGGGCAACTGGGCTAGAGGCTGGTGGTGGCCTGGCTTTGGGACTCAGAGAACAGGGCTTTGAAGTGATGATTGGCACTTTGCAAAAGTGGAGACAAGATCTGAGGACGGTGACCACAGGGTGGCTGTGGTGTGAGCTGACATAGGAGGAAGGGACACCCCAGAGGGGCAACTGAAGCTGTGAGGTGAGGTTAGAAGTCACAAACACTTATCTCATCTTCTGTGTGGTTTTGTTGTACAAATGCAGTATAGCCTGTGCTCCACAGACCTTATCTTTAGGCTTGGAAATCCCCTCAGTCACAATCTGGGTTTCTGAATCCAGGTGGGGCATGGGCTAATGAAATCTACAGCGGTGGCTGGGAAACACCAGAAGTTGTGGTGTAAGACACTGGCCAAGGACTGGGCTTGGGCTTTAGCTGTTGGTGACCTGAGTATGGCAGTGTCATCGGGGCAGTTCAGCTTTACGTCTAGCATGTGCTCCAGGGCTCTCCTTCCCATGTACTCTGGTATCGAGGGATGACTTTGCGCTTCTTCCTATAGTCTTATGGAGTTCACTCTTGAAACACACACAAGCCACAGGTGTACCACAGCAGACACTAGGGTGTGTCTGCCGATGGGCCACACATCCCACTTAATCGTACTGAAGACATAAGCTGGCAACCATGCAACTTTCTTTTCCTGATGAAATCTACTCTTCCTTTCCTATGTACCTAGCTGATGATGGAGCTGTACACCTGTGTGTTGTGCTGCACTGTGCCCACCTGCCCACAAGTGTCCTGTGATGATGATATATGTGACAATCAGTCTGCTGGGTGATTGGAACTGGGGAATGTCATCAGAGATCCATTGCAGGGGACTGACCAGTTTGAGCATCTTTTCCATGCGCCTGTGTCTCAGGCTCTGAGTATTAGGGTCTGTCTTCACACACCAGTGTCTCGTCAGCAGGGTGTCCTTATCTAAATGCAAAAGCCGATTTCTGGAATTAGTGTGTATGGAGCCAGGTTATGCAGGCTTGTGCACAGGGAGGACTCGGGAGCTGGGCGTACACTGGCTCCTCCACATTTACAAAGGAAGTGCTGCCACAATGGAGCCCCACATCAGGCTCCTCACAGCAATAGGCTCAGGGTATGGCTCCATGTAGCTTTCCTGGTGCAGGACTGTGGAGAAGACGACAGATCGTGAGGCCATGCTGGCCCTTCAGAGGATATGTGAGCAGAAGCGAGGGTGTTTATTGCCTTTCACCCTCCCATTTCTCCCTGTTCCTCTCTGCCCAGACAGGACAGCAGTGTGTCTCCAGGCAAAGTGACCAAGCCGTCTCAGACAGGCAGCTGGTGACAGAGCAGAGCACGTGTCTCCTCTGTGGTTTTAATCTTCATACTTCACAGGACCGCAGTCTGATTGATGGAATTTTTTAAAGCCTTGCTTTCTGGAGGCTGGGAGCCTCCTCCTCACCCGCACAGAACATATGTGCACATATTCCCCGGGGTGATGTTTGAATGTGTGCATCGTGTGGCTGCGTTTGTTTAGTGTGTGCCTCTCCCCATCTGAGGGGACCTTTCCCATGACCCTCGGCTTCCTCGGTGGGCTGTTCGCTGCTGTCTGGGGTGGGGGCCCTTCTGGGAGCGGCCACCCTCCTCCCACCGCCATGCTCCAGGCTGATGGATCATCTGATGCTGCATTCTTCTTCCCCATAGCTGCCGGAGAAGGGGGGCGAGGAAGAGGAAAAGGAATAAAAGATCCCAAACAGCTCCCATCTGTTGCGGGGAGATCAGAATGCTTGCATTTACCCAGCTTTGCGACTGAGGGGCTTCGAGAGTTTTATTATTTTATGAGCCCCCAGAGTACACAGAGCGCAGGCCATATCTAGCAAGCCAGCTTGGGACGGCTGTGGAGAGGGTTGCTGGCCAGCCACAGGCGCAGGCTCCTCGTTCTTCTCTTTTCCTGCCGTTCTGATCTGTGTCTATCTTCTACCATCCTACGTGTCAGCTTGGCCTTGGGCCCTGGATAAGGTTTCTCTGTGTTTTCTGCCGGTCTCTCTCTCCTCTAGGTAACTGGCCGTCTTTACAGCTCATGCTTTGTTTACATCTCCCTTAATCTGAAACTCCCCTTGGCCTCCTGGGTGTTCAAGGCCTGTGAAGGGTTATTCAGCGAAGCCTCAAACACCAGTTATGACACTTGAGTCTAGCCACTGGCCCACCTGAGCCTCTGGGTCATCATCCCTGTGGACAGAAGCAATGGCCATCCGTGTTTATGTCAGCAAATACTCAGTAGCTACAGCCTCACCATTGTCCCCACCTGTGACGGTCCAGGTGGGAAGCTGTTAGTAAGTCAGTTCTCCAGTCACACACTGCCCAGAGAAGCCAGGTGTGGCCATACGAATAGGTCAGGGTAGTGAATGTGAATGTGACAGAAAAGTCTTCCTGTCATGTAGAAAAGTACCAGTAACATGTCAGTGTCCCTGGGCAAGGAAAGCAGCAAATCTGAGACCTGAGATTAAGAAGGTAGCACGCTACGCCTGTTTTGGGCTCTTTCCCTCTGACTTTAGAGGTCTCCTCCTGAGGGAGCTGTGAGATGGAGAAACTCAGGCCTGAGTCACAGCCTCAGGAGAGTCTTCTAGAATTCTAAAATGCCACAAAAAGATGGTGGTGGGACCATCTACAGGAGATGTTCTCAACCTGTGGGTCATGACCCCTTAGAGGGTCACATGTCAGATATCCTGCATATCACATATTTACATTACGAGTCATGACAGTAGCAAAACTACAGTCATAAAGTAGCAACAAAATAATTTTATGGTTGGGGAGCGATCACCACAACATGAGGAACTGTATTACAGGGCCAAAGTGCCGGGAAGATTGAGGACCACTGATCTGCAGAGACCTGAAGAAGGACTTTGTCACGGATGCTTCTGCCACCCCAACTTGGCAGCAGGTGAAGCAGACAAGCTGTGTGGGACCTACCATTTGCTTGCCTGTGTGCAAAGCCTTTGTACACATGGGTTCTCATCACACAGGAAGGCAGAAGGGCCAGCACCCACTCCTCCAAGAGCACTTGTTTGTGGCTGACAGCAGACTCCAAAAGCCTGTTCCTTCCCATTTTTTGCTCATGAAGAGCCACTGGAATCCTGAGCCACCAGAATTTTCTATATAATAAGACTATCCCAAGCTCAGGGTTTAGAGTCCAATCTTCTGGAAGCTAGCATGTTGTATGATTGAAATTGTCTTGCCATGGCATATTGTATGATTGAGATGGTCTTGTCATGACATGTCGCATGGTTGTAATTGTCTTGTCATGACATGTTGTATGTTTAGGGATAGATTCGTGGTGTTTCTGTAAGCTGTTTGTTTAACTTTGGATAAATATTAATTCATAGCAGTTACACACGTTAATATATTGCCATGCTACTTCATACACACACACACACACACACACACACATCTTTATAGACACATGGACATTCGGCAACATTTGTCTCATGTCTTCGCTTTAAATATTTAACAAGGAGAATACAGTGTTATGGGAAGAGCAGCTTAAGATCCAGACATGTTGGCCTGAGGAAGTGATTTTTGCCTCTTTATGTTTGGCTGCCTTATTTTTAGCAACAGCACACACAGCCCTGAGCCCTTTCTGTCTGTGATTTTCTGGGTGACACATCATCATGGAGATGCTGTGTGTTTGTCTATTTAGGGCTGCATTCTCTCAGCCCAGAAGGGAACCCATTCACTGTGTTCTCTCTGAACTAGAGGTCAATCTGGCCAGCCTGAAAGGGTATGCCCTGTGGAGAGCTCCAGAATGCAGCCCCCAAAGGACGAGAGACCTGTGGCTTGGGTCTGTGTATTTGTTGACTCTGTCTTGCACAGTAGGTTTGTTGCCAATAGTGTGCAGACATGAAGTGACCACATTCCTGGCTCTGTATGGGTGTGACTGCTAACAAAGAATCAACAGAACACACGCAGTCTTAGCCTATGTGCTTGGTCTTTGTGCATGTCTGAGAGGTGTGAGCTGAGAGCAAATGTGTCAGAAGATAAGAATGTGAGCCTGTCTGTGAGTGTGTAGTGAGTGTGGACAGGATGGTACATATGTGCCTAATGGTGAATGAGAATCTAAGTAGTGAAATTATTTATCAGGGGCCCTAGTGTGAATGAGCAAGTCAGAGCGAGTGTGAATCTGAGTGTATCAGAAATGTCAGAATGAATCTCCAATGTGTGTATTAGTGAGTTCTAAGAGTGTGAACTTACCTCAGGGTTAAGTGTGAGAGGAACAAGTGTGGGTCGGAGTGAATGAATCTGAGAGTAAGTCTGAGAGAGACTGAGGGTCTGAGAGTCAGAGTTAAGTGTGGGATGCTTGTCCAAGGTGTCTTAGTATGAGGAGTGTGAATCGGATCAGGCAGGCACCTACACCCACAGGCTGTGTGCGCTGGTGAGTAGCTTCTTAGTGCCTGGACCTGCGTGGCTGGAGGTGGGGTGGGTGAGCCGTGAGGGAGTTGGGGTGCAGGTATATCTCACTTGATGCCCTGATTCGTACAACCCCTTTCACAGCCAGACACAAACCTGCATTTGACTTCACTATCTGGGTCCTGCCCAGCTTCCAGCGGAGGGTCCTTCCCTTCCTTTCCCGTGTTCCAACTCTGTTCTCAATCAATCTGCTTTTCTGTAGGGTAGGCTGCCTGCTGGGCTGTAAGCTTCCCTTTACCCCAAGGACCAAAGCCACATCCCTGGAGATGAGAGCCTAAGGTCATGGTCACTATGGTGACTAGGTCTTTTAAGTAGCTTCTCAGCAGGTTGCAGTAGCCTCATATGGCTTTACTTCCTTTTCTTAATCCTGGTTCTACATCAGCATGGGCTGTATTAACCAAAACACCAACACCAACACCAGCATACTCCCTCATATTCACACACGAGTGAGCTTGCTCACACCGATCACACATGCATGCCATACCCTTACTCATTCACAGCTGCACATACCACTCACATGCAGGTATGTGTGTACATATGCATACATTCACATACGAACATGATGTTCACTTGCATGCCCTCCTACACACTCACAAAAAGTTTATATGCTCGAATGTGCTCACACATGTATACGTATATATACTCAACTTACAGTCTCCATATTAAACTGTATATATGTGCATGTGAGCACTCACAGTTGTACACACTTATATAAGCTAACACTTACATGGGAAATAGCTGGCTGTCCCTGCCATATACAAGACACCTGGTGTATATATATATATATATCCATGTTGGGATTACTGCTGGCTGAGCCCTTTAGCCAGCAAGAAGACTTGTAACAGAAGGGCTAGGGCCACTGTCCCAGGTCCAATGAGCTTCCTTTGGTGGCAGGATGACAGGAGGTAGCCAGGCCCAGGACAAACACTTTAGACAGAAGAACTCAAGTTGATAGGATCCAGGGTCCTAGTCCCACTGCCTTGAGCAAGCCACTCAACTCTGAAATCTGATCTGACCTCTCGTGAAGAGAATGAAGTTACTGGACAAGGGACCCGTGCCAAGTACTTTGTAAATGGGAATGACTGGTATACAGGCCTATTGAAGGAGAGAGAAGAGAAGCAAGGTGTATGTTTGTCATGGAGTAAGATGAAGGCAACTCCTGTTCCTGCCATGTTAATCACTGGATCCAATACTGTGAACATAGAATGTTCTTAAAAGCCGGGTACTCTTACACCTTTGCCATCCTAGCTTTTGATACTACGTAGACTCACTATGCACTTCTCCAGCTGTGCATCCCAACATGGGGCTTCTGTCTGCTTCAGCTGGGCAGGGTCTCTGGGCATGCAGTTGGGATTCTCCACTGGACAGAAAAGGCACCTGTTGCGCCTGCAATAGAGCCAGAGGAAGAGGTTCTTGGAGAAAGTGTTAGCATCTGGGAAAGGCGCCTGCTGATGAGAAAATGAGTACAGAAACAATGAGGGCAGATCGTGAAAGTGTTGTGTAGTCTCCCACATCAAGTCTGTGAGCCTCTGGGACCCACGTTCTCATTGTAGTTAATTTTATCATAGCCTTCATCTTATAGGTCTAGAGAGCTTAGCTGAATCAAGACTTGGCAGCACCTCTCTTCCTTCACAAGACATCCTGGGATCCTTGGCGTGCCACAGCCAAATGCAGACTTGGTCCTGGCTCTATTCCTACTCTGCACCTAGCCTTGGGATCTGTATTATACAGTTCCTGCATCCTGGGCCCAGTGACTCCCTGCAATAAGCTTAGGGTAGTAGTACCAGGGACATGGCAAGTTCCCCCAGATGGTTGGTTATATAACAGCACAGTGTCAGCATGTACAAGAACTGAGGTTGGAGCTTGAGTTGGGAGCTAGTTTCAGTCTAATTACTTCAAGCTAGTCTTTTATCCTAAAGAAGACTTTCAGTCTTTTAAATGAGTTTTAGAAAGTAAGGCTTACACATATCTTCCACCAGTTAAAGTTACTTTAGCAGTCTTCAATGTCCCTGTCCTTGTAGATGTGGCTGTCTGTCAGTTCAGCGGCTCAGACTTGTAGGACAGTGGTCACTTTGCCTCCTTTTGGATGCCTTCTGATTCCAGCTATTGGCAGGCAGAGTGCTTGGGAATTTGACAGAATTGTGTGGCAGCTTGAGACAGGGGAGAGAGGCCTCCCTCTGGGACTGTGTGATTTGGGAGGGAATTATGTTTGTGTTCACACCTGTCATTCAAATACGACAATCTAAGGGCCACGTTACAGGTGGGGACTTTTCCTAATCAGCCAATAAAACTCTGCACATGTTTTTGTATAAAGAACAGGGTATGAAATCCCTTAGGAATTCACTTAGGACTTGAGTGAGCCATGACTTGTTCCAGCCTCACAGCTCTGCTGCTGTCATGAATGAGCCAAGGTCACATATCTATAGAGGAGCTACCAGACTGGGGCAGATAATGTGCCTCTAGCCATGGTATGCCAGCCCTCATCTTACAGAAAGCACAATATTTTTGTCTTGTGTGCATCATCGGATAAATGAAACTCTGTATGCAAAGTGTGGTGGCCCAGCCCATCTCTTCTTCCTCACTCACTCAGGTACTCTAAGCTATTGCTTGGAGGCATCAGTGCACCCTGTCCATCCCAGCTTCTATAAACTGTCAACAGTACCTGGACCTCCTGAGGGGAAAGAGCCAGGGTTAATTAGCCACATCTGTCATGGTTGTGTACTCACAGTGGGCAATGCCAGGGCTTCCATTGCTTTGATGCCTGGGTCTTCTGTCAGTCCAGTCAAATAGTACTCAAGTCTAAGATCGGGTCAGGTCATCTGAGCCAGGATTGAGAGGATGAGACTGAATCTCAAGAAACATGAATTAGGGTGGCATCCGGTGAGGGTAGTTGTGTTACAAGGCTACCCAAAAGGCTTTGCAATACTCAGTGAGGCAGGCTAAACATAGAGGTTTAGAGCGTTCTTTTATAGATATTTAACACTGGACCCTGAAACCTAATCTTTTATAGTCTCTGCTTGCTTCCAACATCAAATGTCATTACCCAGCATCGTCAATGTCACTATTTTTTAGGCCTGATCCCATTTGACTCTTGGTCGTATCCCAAACCAAACAGGCAGTAGAAAGGTAAAACGATGCCTCGTTTAAAATCATGGAGACCAGAGGTGGGTGTAGAGACTTCCAGTGCTTCTCAAAACCACACAGCGTTGCTGGAATAACTAAGTGAATACAGCCTTCATTCACATGGAACTGAGTACACTTGTGAAAGTGGGGTGTGACAACCAGGGCTCCCTTTACAAGCAGCCTTTGCTCGTACCCGGTAGTTCTTTCTTTGACCACCAGGTTCCTGTAGAGCCGTGGCCCCTCAACCACCTGTTTACAAGGATCACATATCAGATATCCTGCATGATGCAGAACAGTAGCAAAATTGCAGTTATGAAGTAGCAATGAGATAACTTTTGTTTGGGGGTCATCACAACATGGTAAACTGTATTAATGGGCTGCAGCCTCAGGCACGTTGAGAACCCCTGCTCTAGAGCCAACTCCAAATAGACTGTCTCTGTCTGGCATTAATCAGTTTCCTGTTGCTAGAGTGTGAGATAAGTGTAGGTACTTTATAAAGGAAAGATTATTTAGCTCACAGTCCTCCATGGCAGAAGTCCAAACAGCACAATGCCATCCGGCTCTGGCAAAGGCTTCTGTAGCTTCGA